TGAGAGTTGAACTAACACACGCCTGATGGGTCAAAGCACGCCCTTCGCTGTGCCGTCTGGGTCTCTCCACTCGTTATGCTCTCTCGTTCCCCACCTGTGGCCTAGGGTCTGTTTATCTGCTTGCCCTCCCCCCTCCCAAAAAAAACTTCCAAGCTCAAGGAAAAAAGAGCCGTCGCTCATGGGGAGTGGAGGGAGGGGGGACATTAAAACAGGCCGATGGTAGGTGACACTAGGACTAAGCCCAGAGGGGGAGAAACGCCAGGGAGAACACAAATTGCTCACATCCTCCCCAGAATCCCTTCCCCTCCCTAAGGCTTAGTCCCAAGTACTGTAGTCGTTCACTCACTTGCTCACTTGACTGCCCCCCCCCCTAAACATAAGCGCCGAAGTGCCTTTATTAGAGACGTTCCAGTGGCCAATTTTCCTTTTTTTTTCTTCACTGGCCTAGATCCTACTGTTTGATAGGTGAAGCTTTTTCACAGTGAACTCCATTTTTGCTACCCGGAAATTCAATGCTTTCAGTTAGGCTCTTTCAGAACTATTATGGATCTGCACGCCAAATTCTCAGTGACAATCCTCTCGGTTTGACATGTGGAATGATTTGCCCGACATCGGATCTTTGTGTCGGTGGATGCAATCTACAGGCCAGTGAAGAAGGTGCCATCAACATTGGAGGTCTCCAGCAATTCGCTTGTGAGGTAATGATGCTTTTTCAGACATTCCGTACATTCACACTTGAACGTATTACGAGATGGGTTAATGATTTTAATTTTCGCTAAAGATTCCGATCTCAAAGGCACCACTGAATCTAACGGGAGACGTGCGTTTCTCCTCCTGGGGTCAGGTCACCACAGTTGCGCGATCATTGAAGCTTAAGGTTAAGTTTGGGTTTAGACTTAGGTTAAGGCTTATGCTTACACATTGGCTTATGCCTAAGCCTATGATTGGGCCTAGGCTTAGTCCTAAGCTTGCTCCGAGCGAATGAACGGCGTCTCAATTTTAGGTGACCTGACCCCAGGAGGAGAAACGCTACGCACCCGATCTAACTGTGAAGACGCTGCACTTAGTTCCGCGGCCTTCTTCAAGGTAATGGGAGTCGAGCGTTCATTGAGGCAATGTTGGCCGACCTGGGCGACCCTCACGCATTCATATAGTGCGGAAACTTCGTAACGATTGATTGACGCGCTGTGCCATCGCTAGCGACATGCGCGACGCGCCATTAGAAAAATCGTGGAGCTAAGAGGGCACCCTTGCGAGTGAACAAACGCAGAAGTGAAGAGTACTTCTTCTTTATACTCCTGTGATTAAATAGGGCCCAAGGACCAGAAAAAGTTGTACACAAAATAAAGCCCGTGGTCCGTCAGGAACCACGGTCTCAAATGAGCACCAAGAGAGTGTGCACGCGCCAGATCCCGCTAGCTCGAAAAAAATGGGGTCAAGAAGTATTAGTACCACGACCGTTTCAGTGTGACAAAGACAGAGTGCTTGTTGTTTGCAGGTCTTCAAGAAGATGAACATACGACAGATCGTTTCAAGAGAAATCCGAGAAAACCGAAACAAGTCTCATTCATCTCCCTATTGCTCTCATTGGTGAGTTGTACACTCAGTTCACACAATAATAATCACCTTGGACAGCAACTTATGTTTAAGGTTGTGGTCCGGCATCAATCTCATGCGCTTCATTTCTGGCCCGACTTGGTTACACAGATGTGACAATTTACGAGAAACAAAAGTATATTGGAGGGCTGAGGTAATTAACAGTTAATACATGCAGTTTCAAAAACTCAAAGAGACTGCCTGGCACACTCCCAGCGCGCTGCAGCGCGGTCAGACCGCCTCCAACGCCCTTCCACCAATGACGATTCCAAAATGGCTCCGCCTCTCAGCTATCGCAGAGTCTGGATGTTTTTTTGCTGAGGCGTTACCTTTCTTCGGAAAGTTCGACTGAGCAATGGCGGTTATTGCTTTGCAAGAACCCATAGTGTAATAAGTTGGACGGGGGGGGGCGGAGGATCGCATTGCAAGCCAGACAAACATCTAGCTCTGCTGTTAGCTACCCAAAATTAACTAACGAGCATATCGGTAACAAATCCAAAGCTACGCATAGAATTCATGCCCCATCTGGATCTTCCGCCAATAAGAGTTTTGCCTTCGATCAGAAATATCTCGAGCGGTGCAGAGCGAACCTAATGTCACTCATCTGGTATGCGGCCACGGTTGCAAAGTGCCCAATCTCTGTAGACGAAGGGTTGCGTTTCCCTAGGTGAGAAGATGGGATCGTATTTGATTTTTTTAAGGGAATCGCCACTTAAATATTCGAGAGTGATGACAGAGGCGTCGAGGCAATAGCGTGAAATGTGCTGCTCTAACAATTACATTCACTCCCCCAATACCGTTTTGGGGTTTTGGCGGAGTTGGATTTTTTTTCTTAGTATCAAGCTCAACGACACCCTTGCATGACTCATCGACCACTGAAAGTGGGGAAGGTGGGGACGTGGGGGCGTAGGGCAAAGGGAAATAGGGTCGTATTCATCTTCATAGGGGAGAGGAAGGGAAGGGGCTGTACTGACCGAAGTTCCCTTGGAAGCTAATCCTGTTGCAACGATTCGATTCGTCAACGGAGAGCACGTATGACCAAATTAATACTTTCGCTGCCTGTGCTCTCTCGCTGAGAGAGTATTTTTCTTCTTTCGTGTTTGTGATATTCAAAATCGCTCGGTGGAATTCGCTTTGTCATTTACAATCAGCTTTTTTTGTGTCAAAGAGTTTGCTGCCTCGCCTTAGTGATTTGTTTCAACGGATTTACTGATTTTAGTTCGTCAGAAATACCACAATTCCGTTTACCGTACTCAGTGGTCGATTTCGAGATTCAGTTAGCGCGAGATATTGGAGTGAAAATTGAGACTGGACGGGCACTTCACAAGTCAGACCTTACTATTGAAAAACTGAAGGTAAATCAAGCACACCATACAGTTTTATTTTCATCGAAAAGGAATTGTTATACGGGGTAGGCCATATGGTAACAAAGTAATTATGGCAGGTGGTTCACACCAAAACACAATGGGACTACACAATTAATAACCCTAGATCGTCACAACCGAATCGTCAGATAGATAGCCTTTTCCACGAATTACAGCTCGTGGAAGCTTGGGCCGCTACACGCCCACCCACGGGTAAGCTCTCGCCGTCTGACTCTAGCCGTATGGCGGACAGAGAGAGCGTTAGCGCTGATGAGACCGTACCAATGAGAATCGCACCAATGCGAAATTAACGGGCAAAGGTCCTATTTCTCGGGTTCTAGGCCACTTTTCTTGTTTTTTTTTTCATCCTTGCATCTGATCACCTCTACCTTGATTTCTAGTGGTCTGTCTTTTATCGTGAACTGCGCCTTTGAAAATGCTACATTAAGGCTTCGGGAACGAAAGCAGTGTTCATCGGTATCGGTATGCCTGAACCGAAGAAAATTGGTGTTTTCAAAGGATTAACTCAAAGTCAAGGATTTTTCACCAGCAAAGATTTCCTGCCCATGGTTGCAGCGGCCAGTAAACCGGGTATTGTTACATTTCCTGTCACCACTACATAGTTATCTTGAATGCAATGTGATCATAGATTGAATGTCAGTTTTCTAGGTATGTGTGGATGCTCGAAAAATCCTCTGCCTTCTCTGAAAGGACGCGTCATTGTACTTGGAGCAGGTGAATATTTTATGATAGTCTCAGTTCGCAAGAAAATCAAAAATGATACCCAAAACGTCGGCTTTAAAAATTGCTGGGGTATCCCTTGGTAGAGTGAGGGATTCAACAGATCACTTTTTTACCAAAACAAAGTGATACGAAGGAGGGTGGGGTACGAACTTTGATCTGCGAGAATCGATTTCCTGAAATAATCATGTAAGCTAGCTAGATAAAAATGCACTTCACGAGCCTGCGCGTCACAAAGTTTCTGATATTTAGTAAGGGGCCTTCAGAGCAGCGTCAACCGTCTGGCGTTCAGCGATTTTTAGGGAGGGAGGGCCGTGTTGGGGTTAAGCAAGCGATTTACATACATCAAAAGAAGGATTTAGTGTGACGTAGTGGTGCTCAGTGGTACACCAGTAGCGAAAAAAGCAGCAAGAACCAAAAAACAAAAGAGAACGCAAAACGGGACCCCCTTTTTTGCCCGTTGTTCTCATGATCTGGTTCTCATGACTCGGAGAGTGGACGCATGAACGAATTCACTGCTACGCGTTTGATGGCACTAATAACAATCACGCTTTGATTGAAATACTCATTTGGCGCCCCGCTGACCAACGGAGCTCTCGTCAAATCAACAAACAAAGCATAGTGGGCGGATCGTTTCTGGGGGGGGCGCTTTCAGACCCGCCCAGTAACCAGCGCCTAACCTTGCTCGCTTCTCTGCCAACAAGTCAAACTGCATTCGTGTGATGCACATGCTTCCCAGAATGCCGCTCCGTCTTTTCGCCAATTCGTTCCTTTAGCATGCGTGACCCATATGGTTTGAGAAAATGCGACGGGTCATACCATAATAGTGGAAGTTGAAGGGGTCGTGGCTGCGGCAAAGGGGGGTGAGGGTGGTGGGTGGTGTGAGGGGAAGAGGAGAGGGGTACGTCCGAGGACTTCCCAAAGGCTGATGAGGACCCTAAAAGGGGGAGGGGAGTCGTAAATCTTTATAAAAGGCGAACACGGCGGTCGACTCCTTAAAGCGCTCTAATTTCTGCCCCCGTTTGGCCATCTTCCCATATAGCGGCCACAGCCCCCAATGCAAACGCGCGCCGCGTCGCCTATATAGGCCAGATGCGCAGCATTAAGCAGTGCGTTGAGAAATGGTCAACGGCGAGCAAGTGGACTGCCGCGAATTGTAGTGCAGGCAAACTCACGGCATGTACTTCTGGCTCACACCCCTTTTTTGATCCATGAATATGACTCTAATAGCTAAATTCTAGGTGAGGACGGGGGGGGGGGGCTTTCGATTGTGCTACGTCTGCGCTACGATGTGGTGCGTCAAGAGTTACTGTTGTATTCCGTAAAGGATTCACTGGTATTCGAGCCGTTACGCGAGAGGTTACTATTTAACATTTGCAACAGTCACATGTATTAGGTTGTCTCATAAACAGTGTCGCTTTTTTTCATCCAAAAAATTTTCATCTAAACCTCCATGCTTTTACATCGTGTTGTGTACCATTCGAAAGAGAATTGTCTGCTCTACAAAATGCTATGTCCCACTTCCACATTTCTTCCAGGGTTTTCAAATTTTGGGCCTGTGAAATGGGAGGTCCGGCCGACAAAAAATGGCCAAACCGACAACTATCTCTAACATTATCTTTCCTTGGGAGAAATCAATCTATGATGTACCTTCTACTTATGCATGACCTCTTCTAATCATTACACTACTAGGTTTTCCTACAAATCGCGTCGTTCAATTTCCAGAGCTGGTTTTTCAACCAGAACTCGACGGTCGAGCACCATTACCTGTGATCTAGGTCGAAATTTTTTTATGGCCGAGACGTTGAAGAACTGGTTGAATTTGAAGAACAAGTCATGACTAAGTTAGGAATGTACGACTGGTTGATTTTCTCATTTTCTAAGGGATAATTTTTTTCAAAGAAATGTGGTCACTTTCGCGGTAAAGCACCTTATACCGAAACATCTAAAATTCGAACTAATTCCCAACAAACAGAGAAACAAAACAAATGAGCGAGTAGAGCAGAAGAAGTGCTCGTAAAAGGAACACCACTCGATATGAAACAATGACGTTTACGAGGAACAATTTTAATTTGAAAATTGCTATGGCTTATCGGTCAGCCAATTCGAAAAGAAACACGGCAAAGCTTTTTCGGCAACCTAAGAGTGGAATGTTTAGAAGAGGTCATGGGTAAGTAGAGGGTACATCACTGATTGATTTCTCCCCAGGGAAAATAAAGTTACAGCCAGTTGTCGGTTTGGTCAATTTTTGCCGGCGAGACCTCCCATTTTGCTGGCCTGAAATTCGAAAACTCTGAAATAGCGGTGGAAGCGGAACACAGCATTTTGTAGAGCAGACAATTCTCTTTCGAATGATATATAAAACGATGTAAAAGTTTCATGATTTAGATGAAAATTTTTTGGTTGAAAAAAAACGACATCACTTATGAGACAACCTAATATATTCGTAAAGGGCGTATAACACGTCCCGACAAACCCACTATTCACTACTTTCAGTCTTTTCGCTGAACTCTTGCAGCACCGAATATTTCGAGGATGGATACTTTCATGGCCACGCGAAGTTTCAGTGCTAACCTAATTGCGGAGGAGAGGGCAGTCGCTGCCACGCGACGCAGCGACATATGTTCACGGCCTTTCCAGCGAAAGCTGCGAACTCATCTCTCAGCTTGACAACGCATAGCGAGCGACTCGCCTCACCCCAACTCCTCGTGATTACATTCCCGTGGCTCACGGATTCCTCGCTTCACACTAAAAGGCGCGAACATGCTATGCGCCGCGGCAGCGCGAAGGTACCCCCCCCCCTCAACTAAGTTTGCACCATGATGGCAGACACATTTTCAATGTAAATTGATTTCCGCAATTCGGATGGAGCGGCTCGAGAGGAACGCTGTGATTCATGCGTACTGCTCTACAAAAGCCGCTGAACACTCAAAGACGCCGTGATCGTACCTCAGATGGAATTGTGCACAAACAGAGCAACACTTGGAGTGGAACATGGTAATGTGAAGCAAAAACACTTCTGGATGCCGAACCAGCGGGTCGAGCGTCTCAGAATAGCTTTGAAAATCAGCGTTTTATATCGGCTTTGTAAACATGTGTTTTGGCTGGCGTTCAGTACTGTAACCAGTCTGCAGCGTGTTACGGAGCGAGTGTTACGCGAAGTCGGCTGCGTTTTGCACTGAGACGCGTGTGATTCAGCGTTATAGTCAGGGGTGCGCAAACGATTGCAGAAATAGGGGTTCGAACGGCTCACAGTAAATGTCCCCACTCTTGACGCGCGTGGTTTGGATATATTTTTTCGGACAATACCTACGCTGAACGTAATCTCGCTTAGAATTCATGAACGACACATCCCGCCGGGTAAACTAGTGCGTTTTGCGCAGCGGAAGTGAGAGCATCGAGCGAAGTGAGCCGGCGTAAAGGGACCAAGGATGGGAATCTGTCCACACGTTCAAAGTAAAGGCTGGCCTTCATTTCTGGTATTTGGGCAAGTCAGAACTGTGCTGGGAGGAGAGACAGTTTAGGAGAAAAGACGCATCAGCGGATGAGGGAGCGCAGACACGCTGCGCGCGGCGAGAAAAATGAAGCCGTTGAAGCAGCCGTTGTTCGCAAGGTCGTAGTGTCCTTGCTGCACACTTTGGAGCCTGAAAATTTGGACATGTACGACCTTCGTGAACAGTCCTACCCTTCTAGAACATTCATGCCTGAATTCATCCTGGGTCGTGACTTTAGTGAGGGACGCTGTTAGCGCGCGAAGGAGAAGGTTTCCGAAGACGTGCCCTTTTGCGAGCCCTGCGAATGCAGTTGTCAACGCTTTCTTCAAATGAAGGGATTCCCTGATTCGATGCAGCTGCTCTGAACTACTGTCGAAACTTCGATGAAGGAAATCCACTGTAGAAATTACTTTTCCTGTTTTCCACTTGTATTTCCAGTACATCCTTAGACTGCTGAACATATTGCAGGTACGAAGATGAGGAGCAAACGCTGACTCTTAAGGCTGACTACATCATCTCAGCCTTCGGCTCTACTCTTCTTGATCCTGACGCGTGTGAGTTATTTAGCATGAGCGGTTGGAGCGAACCGAAGAGCTGATGGTCAGTAGTCGCAGTGTGTGAAAGTCTGAAGGGTTAAAAGCAGCGATCGGCAATGGCTGAGCGGCGGTGGCGATTTGATGACGTAATTGACGTCTTGGCACTGGGAGCCACTCAGCGCGGTTGGGGTTTGAGTGGAACAGCCTCTTACGCCCTGTCCAACGAATGACATTTGATGAGGTCATCAAACACACGCCCATCCGATCACTTCCTCTAAGTCGTACGAAGCGCAGTTGGTCTGTTAGAGTGTGTCATGAGATTCCGATTGCACCAACGTAACAAAACATACAACGTTTCAAGAGGGCCGCGCACGCTCACACTTAGTTCGGCGCCCTACCGCAATCAGAATCTCCTGACACACACTTACACTTCAGGCAGGTGTCCTAAAACAGGATGCTAATCTGTTACATGACAACTCATGAATGTTTTTCGGTATAGTCCGCAAAGCACAAACAGCCACCAAGCACCCGCTAGTCATACAAAACGCTGCTATCTATTTCATCTAAGTGCTTTGAAGTTACAACCTTGTCTTTTCTAACACGCATAATTTCAGTAGTATCTGCCATGGCGCCTGTCAAAATGAACAAATGGGGAGCTTTGAAGTCCGCAAGACCCACACAGCGCGGACGAATGTGCCTTCGGGTATTCGCTGGTGGCGAGACGCGGAGGTGTCGCCGAAACGACCGTCGAGTCTGTGAATGATGGAAAGGTAACCTGCACGTAGGAAACATGGCAATTTTTTTCAGATCTTTTTTTTTCTTTTTCAATCATCCTTTTTCCACTGTCGGTGTCCACGTACGCGGCAGCAAAGGCACACTTCCTGCGCTCATGTATGGTTAAGTGGGATCTAGCGCGCTCGTAGTAGCCCATACCATGGAATATGGACACTTTCCGTGTCCGTACCCAGCTGACTCGTAAATGTGGAGCTTCCTAGCAAGAGGTGTGTAGCCGTAAAAATCATCAGCACCAAAAGGGTCCGCCTTTTTTCGGGGGCCATCGCCATGTGTTAGCCGATTTTGCAACAGCCACACTAGCAGAGTGGCAGTCTCAAAAAATCAATATATACAATATCATGCACACTTTGTCGGCGCCTGTTTCTGCTAGTCTGCATTGACAATCTGCCTGAGTGTTGACAGGTACTCCGCAATGGAATGGTGGCAGCTTAGAAGTAGCTCAGCCTACACGTTATGCATGAATGTGCCCTTGAAGCAGAACTGAGTTCTACCTCATGTTGCATTACTTCTAGGTGGCAGCGTGGTCAATCCACAAGTACATTCAGTCAATTCACGGAAATGATGTCGGATCTACTCCAAAGCTTCCAATGTTCCACACTCCTATTGACGACGCTTAAGAACATTTATCATTATTTATGGCAGATGGCAAGAAAACTTACTCGCTCTTGTAAGTGAGAATAGATGGCACATGTTACAGTAGTGAAAAAATAAACAAGAACGACTGAAGCCACAAACAAGATCTCTCTATTCGTTGTTTCTCGCACTCGGAGGAGGTGTCACAGTACGATACACCTCTTCTTCCAGACAGGCAACCCTCCACCGGCAATCGCAGGTCAAGTCCGCCACTTGAACGGGCGGAGCTCTCTAACGGAGCAGATGTCACGGACGTACCCAGGCGCGGCCTTCGCGGCCGAGAAAGCAGAGACGACAAGTGGTCAGCGGACGAGGTCGCAGCTAGGAGTTGTTAATGGACGTACATAATACGCTTGCTCCAGCTAACGCAACATAAACTACCGCTGTGACTGTCCGCCGACTCGTCGGTGGCTCCGCCGTCTCGCGCGCGACGGAACCTCCCTGTCAGCAACTTGATCGGTCCGGCTTGGTGAGGCTTTGCCTAGGCTGCGTACGGGGCACCCTTAGCTGCGAATATGGCCAAGTCTCAGGGTCTTGTATGGGCTTAGGCTCCCTTTACAGGAGGGGATTTATCGTACAACCTACCTTTAAGTAAATAAAATGCTTCTGTTCAGGTTGACATATCAGTAGAGATGTGTGGAGTGAAATTTGAGAATCCATTCGGCCTAGCCTCGGCTCCTCCAACAACGTCAGGACCAATGTGTCGCCGAGCGTTCGAACAGGGCTGGGGCTTCATACTAACAAAGACATATGGTCTGGACAAGGTACCATTCGTTTATTGTATTCAGTTCAGAATGTATGGAGACCAAAGTCTTGGCACGTTGGCCATCCAGCGAAATCATCATTCTGAATTGAATGCCACCTGAACAACATTTCGTTGAAATACCGTATGCCTTACCAATATCGTTGCAGGACCTTGTCACCAATGTTTCACCCCGAATTGTGCGAGGATCGACTAGTGGACCGATCTACGGTCCTAATCAGGTGAGATTAATGTAGCCTCAAAGCATCCTTTGCTAATTTTGCCACCATGGAAGCAAATTTTTGACGGCAAATTTTATTTTTCAGGGATCTTTCTTGAATATTGAGCTGATTTCGGAAAAATCTGCTGCCTACTGGTTGCAGTGTATTCGCGAATTGAAACGCGACTTCCCTACAAAAGTTATTGTCGCTTCTATTATGTGCACTTTCAATCAGGTAAGGTAAAGTTGCATATTTGGTTCTTTGTTCAGATCCCCAATTCAAATCGTTAGTCGTTTGCCCCTCAGCAACCCTCGCATGCTGTCTACAGAGTTCGGGCGAGGGTTTTGTCGTTCTATATTTGTGGTTGCAATTTTTGAGAACATTGCTCGAAAGTGTCTATAGGTACACGACAAGAACGACTTCTCAGTTTATAGGGCTGGTAACACCGTAATTCACGTTGACATCGGAGCGCGCCGTTGAGCAACGGGCGCGCAATCGATTTGGAGCACTGGTGCGAACGTCCTTCAAATGGCGCCCGACCTAGCGCAGACTATCATGCGCCCCGCGGCTGCCCAGGAATAAATCTTTGAAAAGTACAATTGGGGCTTTTTCTCCTTATGAGGAGCGCGAGCGGCAAGGCGGATGCTGCTCAAAATGAGACCTTTGCGCCCATCGCAAGGCAAGGAAAGTTCAAACCAGGGTCAACCGTGCGTTGGACAAAGTCCAACGAGGGGTGGGGGGTCGTATTTGGGGTGGAAAAAAGGGGGGTCGTATTTCGCGAGGTAGCGTTAATGTTACAGTAAGGGAAGTGATGATGCAGTTGGTTGGCGCGCTAAAATTTTGCCGTTTCACGGTGTGTATAAGCCCCTCCCCCGCTCGACGGCAATTTTGGAGGAAAAAAGTGGGCGGAGTTTGGGCTGTCAGAATCGAATACTATAGAATGAGCCCCATGATGGCGATGGCAGGCGAGGGTGGTGAAGGGTTGACCCTGAGGGGGGTCGTATCGAGGCCCTCTAGAAGGGGGAGGGGGTCGTAAAATTTTCGAAATCGGTCCAACGTGACGGTTGACCCTGGCTCAAACCACGTCCGTCTCTTCTTGGGGTTAAATTGACTCCTTGCCAATGCCATTTCCCACAGCAAACGAGCTCCATATTAGCGCTCATTTCGTCGTGGAGTGCGCAGGAGGGTACGTCGAAATCAAATCGATTTCATGTGGCATTGTGGCGCCCACCGCCACGTGGGTTACGGTAGACCAATCTCCACGTGTTTGAAGAATCGTTTTGCGCATCCACGACAGGAAAAAAATACCACCATGAGAAGCATCGCACGCTTGAATTATTCCACTTACTTCGTTTCTGCTCATCTGTTCCTGCTGCATTTCCTTCTTATTTCAATTTGCCCAAAAGCTCTTATTCTGGCTGTTCCAGGATGATTGGGTCCTATTAGCCAAGCAAAGTGAGGACGCTGGTGCCGACATTCTCGAGCTGAACCTCTCATGTCCTCATGGAATGGGAGAGAAAGGTAACTCACAGAAGCAACTGAAGCCAAAGTGACATGTTGCTTTCAAATTTTGACAATCCATATTAAATATGTAAAGGTAAAATACTGAATCAGAAAAAGTTTGGATCTGGTGTAGCTGATAAGTTCGAATCTTAACTGTGCACAACAAAGAACTGTCCAATCGGCAAACAATATTCAGCATTCACATGCGAGCCTGCCCCCACCAGTTTTCGGTTGGGTCACTTGACCGGACTTCTTCAGAGAGACTGTTTTGAACGTTAACAAAATGCAGGGCGTATCCGCAGCACCATCCGTTTCAACCTATCAGTCCCTTTACCTATCATTGCACTTCTAATGAAAACTATCTCCTATTCAGGAATGGGTCTTGCATGTGGACAGGATCCGGAAATCGTCAAAACTATCTGCAGTTGGGTTCGAAACGCTGTGAAGGTGAGGTCCTCGCGAGGTTGTGTTTGACTCCGGATCGAACAGCACTCGGTTCAAGTCACCAAATGTTTGTAAAGCATCAATATGGTTGTTTGGCAGATCCGTTTCATCTAAACAAAATGCCCCCTAATATCACCGACATACGTGCCATTGCTCGCGCTGCGAAGGAAGGTGGAGCTAATGGAGTGACCGCTACTAACACTGTATCAGGCCTCATGCACATGAAGGCCGATGGAACTGCATGGCCAGCAGTTGGAATCGACAAAAGGTAATGGTGTTGCCCGGCAGTACCTAAAGGCCGTGAACACGATGGCTGAGAGGCGGAGTCACTTTAGAGACGTCATTGGTGGAAGGCATTTAGAGGCTGTAACCACACCGTGCAAGTGGGTGTGATCGCACCAGCAAATTACTTCTACCCCAGCCATCGTGTTATTGCTAAAGAATCGCCATTTATGATAAAGAAATTGAACTGGGCGCAATGTGGCTCGGGGGGGGGGGGGGCACTCTGAGAAAAGTCATCTAGGACTAAGCCTAAACAGCAGGGACGAACTCCGGAGAATACGAAAATTGCTTCCGTACACCGGAGTTCCTCTCCTCTTCAAAAGCTTAGTCCTAAAACGGAGCGTTTCCGTGATTTTGACGCGATGTTGCGAGGTGCCCCCCGAGCCACATTGCGCCATTGAACTGCTCTCACTCACGCGCTGGTTGTTGGAAGATTGCATGCTGCTGTCAATTTCAAGGAGAACCTTGAGCTGATGTTACTCTTTGCGCATCGAGCGATTCGCTGGCCCGACGCGACCGCGGACGCTAAGCGAATGGCTAGTAGCGAATCGCTCCATTCGCAAGGTCTGACATCGGCCTTAGCAAGAATTGAGAAAATAAAGTATAGACATATCATAAGGATAAGTTATGCACCAAATACTGCACCCTAGGCGAGTATGAGCTACAAATCAGAGAGGAGTCAAAAAAATAGCTCCTAACAGTTTTCATTTGAAATCGCTTGAAAAAAGTATAAATCCCGCAATGGTCTATTCTTGCCAACACGTCTACACAGTATCTCTTCGCGGTAAATCTGAAATCAATATATTCCCGGTATCTAAAATCAAAAACACCAGTCAAATTTTCAAAGTAAGTCATCGTGTCCGCTTTACAGGACCACTTACGGTGGAATGTCTGGCTCGGCTATTCGACCAATTGCTCTGAAAGCTGTATCCGCAATCGCTAATGATATGGAAGGATTCCCCATTATGGCGACAGGTGGAATTGAAAGCGCTGAAACCGGACTGGCATTCCTCTCTGCTGGTGCTTCCGTCCTTCAGGTATCATCAAATTTAACATTTTTTTTCAAAAATAATTGGTCCCCGAAGATTGTTTGGAGACACACATGTCACTTCATTTGATCACAAAAACTGACAAGCATGCCTGATTTTCAGCAAAAGTGACGTTTTCAAATCAAGGGCAAAAGCCAAAATATTTGGCGTTGACAAATCCCACTCTGGTATGCGCCATGTATTTCATTTCCATTCAAAATCGCTGTTGCATTTGGATTCTGATCCGGTCTAAACAATGGTTTGTGGAGACCAGCAAGAGTTGTGGATGCCGAGTTGACAAAAATGAAAAATGAAGCAAAGAAAACCGTCGATGAAGCCCTAAACAAGGATTCCCCTTGAAATAAGGAAGGGGCGGGGCCAGACGAGTTGTACGAACTTGCCTGCTCCACGGCTCAACTAACCCGCGCGTATTTGAATTAGCCGCTACGCCGTAATCCACGTTGCGTGTCATGGGGTGTGCGCGACGTAACTCGTCCAAATGCTAAGATTAGTCGCCAAATGCTGACTTTGTAAGACCCTAGCGCCATTGTCGCGCACTTTCGAGCCGCGACAACGGCACATCTGTGATACTCGTGGGCTACTCTATCCCACCCACTGAATAGATTCTTCGACACGACTTCTGCTGGGGGTGTTGCTTTAAGTTGCTTTGCACCCGGGGAGGGGGGAGGTCACCAACTGTCCTTTCGTTGTGAGAAATGATGAGAAAATCTACCTCAAACAATTATGCTCTTCAATTTGAATATTAATGACACTTCTATTAATTTCAGGTCTGTTCTGCAGTTCAAAACCAGGACTTCACCGTAATAGACGATTACTGTACTGGACTACGAGCTCTGCTTTATTTGAAAGGAGCTAAATCTCTGAAAGGAGTGGGATGGGCAGAGTCCTCCGACTGAGAAGTATCAAAAAGGAAAACCGGTTACTGTGAAAAATACGGTACGAATATCATTGAAAAATGAATAATGATTTACAGTTCTGAAAAGATGACTCAATGATGCCAACTTACCAGCTAATTTTAGGGACTACCACATTTCGGCAACTTCCGAGAAGAACGCCACAAAATAGAAAAGAGGACCTTCAAAGATAGTCTCATACAGACAGGTGACGACAGCTTTGCTTCACGTCCGGACACGGCCGTGGATGCCGTCCCAACTATCCAGGTATCGTAAAAATCAATTTTTTCACTGCTTATCCATTTAACCCAAATGTAATCGATAACGATTTCGTCGGCGCGAATAGGCTGAAAAGCGAACCGAACTCATGATAGC